AGGCTAATATGTGCATCAATCCAGCGGATTATAACAACACCATTGATTTCCCGAACGCCGACAACATCACATGTCACTTCGCATCGGAATTGCAAACGGATTGCATATACAAAAATGCCACCTTCTGGCTATTTGTGGTCTTCATGTGTCTCGGCACCATTGGTTTCAATGTGGTCAATTCGATATCGGATGCGATTTGCTTCGATATGCTTGGTGAATCAGGGGAGGGTAAATATGGTGCACAGCGTGTTTGGGGCACAATCGGTTTTGGTTCTACTGCGCTGCTGGCCGGTATTGCGGTGAACCTTTGGACCACGGATGCGCTAAAAAGTTTCACACCCGCACTGATTGTGATGATGATCTTCAGCGGTTTCGATTTGCTAAGCGTTTCAAAGTTGAAACTTCCAAAACTCTCGTCATCAGAGTCCATATTCAAGGATGTCTGGAAATTGATGAGCCATCCAGCTATTGCTGTGTTCCTGGTTTTCGCTACCATTGCCGGCATAATCGATTCATTCATCATTTACTACATGTTCTGGCATGTCGAAGAGGTGGCTGCCGAAACGGGCTTTATGTCGCAGATTAAGTTAATTGAAGGTTGTGTTGTTGCCGCCGAGTGCCTTGCTGGCGAAGTGCCATTCTTTTTCTACAGCGGGAAGATTATCAAAAAACTCGGCTACGTACATTGTATGACTATGTGCTTCTTCTTTTACGCCATGCGTCTCGCGTTAATCGCTTGGATACCAAACCCTTGGTACTTAGTTGGTGTGGAATTGTTTTTCCAAGGCAGCACCTATGCGTTGTGCTACACGTGTATTGTAGCTTACGCGTCAGCTGTGGCACCACCGGGAACTTCCGCCACCGTTCAGGGTCTAATGGCTGGCGTAGATGATGGTTTGGGGTTCTCCATTGGTTCGCTGGTGGGTGGTCTGGTCCTCAAACATTTCGGTGGTCGTCGTAGTTTCTTCTACTTTGCAATATTCGCATTTACGGCATGTGTGCTCCACATGTTGGTACGGCCGCGTTCACGCAAACGCCAATATCTGCCGAAGAGTGGCTATCAAGTGCCCAACGAGCAGATGACACTCGGTACTGTGGCTGTAGAGGGAGAAATTAAAGCGTGATCAAGCATAAGACTGGAAATATATTACATTAGATTTGTTATTTGTGACGTTTGATAGTTGCACCTTTACAATTTTATTTGTATAGTTTTTGAATTTTGTATTATAATGACAATTTTATGTACAGTTGGATAGGGTAAAAATGTGAAGTTGTTTATTTGTACATTTATATATAAATACGATATCGTATAGGTAGATTTTATTAAAGAAATATTTTATAACCGGAACTCGACTTTTTATCAATGTTTTGCAAAACTTCAATGGAGGTTAGATTCTTTTCACATCATACACTGACCTTCCAGTAGTCTTCCAGACATGTAATTTGCCAGCAACGTTAATGAGATAGTGTGCTGATTATCTTCAAAGTTGAGACATAATTGAGTTCTGAATGAGTGCTAAATTATGGCTGCTTTCGATTCGCTAAGGCATAAAGAGTTGTGAATCGAACACAAAAGTGCTGTAATTAAAATAGATTGACCAGAGAGCGGCGAGTCCAACAAATTACTGATATGAACAGAATAAATCGACTTAATGAAATAGATGAGTAACAAACAGTCATTCAGCTATTCAGATGCTCTCTGGCATTGTTTTTCTCACATCTAATGTTTTTCAAACATACTCAGCAGCGCAGTGGCCAACCGAATACGGTTTTTTAATTTTTCTGGATAAGTAGTTTCTTGAAGACTTAGAGATCTGACACTATTTCGCTTTTACTATATTACTTATCTCAAGTAATCGAATTTTTTTCTATTTGTCAATCTTTGAATTCTTCGAGTTTTCGAAACCGAAAAATCTCACATTCGTAGTCATTTTATTCATTATATGTAAAGTGTGTTCTTTTGGGTGGTATATAGTTTCTTAAAGTAGCATCTGTCAGTGTAAGCACGTAAATTTTATATTCTTGTTTTTGAATAATTTAAAATTTAGTGAGCAAAAACGTAGACCAGAACGGTATTATATCCAAAACTAAGTGAAATTTTACATTTACATTTTAACTGTTAAGACATCTTCAGTGACATATTTCTGGTTTAATGTATACATAAATAAATATAATTGCTGTATAAGGA